AATGTACATTCTCTTTTCAAAACTGCAATGAAATTATATGAGCATCTATTACTTCTCAGTATTTGTGAATGTGTGTAACAGCAACAAGTTGTAGCATAGTTTGTGAAAGTGACTTTCAGTCAAGGATTGATCTGTTTGTCTCCCTGCAGGCTAGTGAAGATCACCTGCACAGCAGAAAAAGGTATGTGATCTCACAGAGGAACAAAAGACAAAACCCTGCTCTGGATTTTAGCCTCTGGTACAGCATACCAAAAGATCTACTTCACAAAAACTTAAAAAAGGAAAACAGGGACTAGAGGTCATTCTGTTCATAGTACTGGCAAAGACGATTAGTTACCCTATACATCCCAAATGATAAACCTAAACCTTTTTACTATAGAGCGCTCACACACGCACACCACGTGCGCACGCACGCACGCACACACACACACACACACACACACAAAGATACATATGAGCTCTATTGTCCCCTCGCCCCATGCTGAGATCACATTCCAAAGCATGCTTGTTTCACCTTTCCTAATCATCTATCTCTTTCCAATGCTGTTTTTTTTTTCTCTGAAATCTCCCAACATACATTATTTATACAGTATTTTACTCTAATTTCATTACTACCAAATGTATGCTTCAAAAGTTTGGGGTTGGTAAAAGTTTTCTTTTTTTTTTAAGAAGTCTCTTATGCTAACCAATGCTGCAATTATTTGATAAAAAATACAGTAAAAACAGTAATATTGTGAAATATTATTACAATTTAAAATAACTGTTTTCTATTTGAATATATTTTAAAATGTAATTTATCCTTGTGATGGTAATGCTGAATTTTCAGCAGCCATTACTCCACTATAAACAGATTTTATTTAGAAAAAAAAACTTTATTATACAATAAGTGCCTTTAATTATATATTAAATTATACAGTAAATGCATTTAATGACGATTTTGATCAATTTAATGCACTAGCTGCACGATATATCGTTTCAGCATCGATATCGCGATGTGCACATCCGCGATAGTAACATCGCAGGATGTGCGATGTTTAGTAGGTCTATACTGATCGTTATATTTATACTGACTGTTTTCTTTGCTCACACACAGACACCAAGTCTACAACTGACGCGACAACTGTACAGAGATAACCATTTTTAAATAAATTTAGTAGCAGAGCTACTGCAAGCGATTTTTAGTGCTGGAAATCCATTTCCTTTGTTGAAACTTCCGCGTCATCAAGGAGAGCGCAGGTCACGGTTGCTTAGTAACGGTAGACACCACGAAAGCGCAAGCTCACGGCATCAGTTTACTGATGGGGATCGTGTCGCATCGCATCGCGCCACATCCAGTGTAGACAACATCACTGATTATAATGGGTTCTATTGTATTTTGTCGCGCCGCTCGCGTTCAGTGTAGACACAGTGAGAGCCACGCAGATGCACGTGAACACTGAATTCCATTCACTTCCGCTACTATTTGTGCCTGAAATGACACATATGCACGAAACTATGTCAAAATGCATGTCTCTGTAAGTATCCTTGTAAAAACAGTTGCTTATGTCTTACGTGAAGGTAAACAATTGAGAAAGAAAGAGGATAACAATTACAGCAGTTTAATGTCCCTGTTGCTTTCTGTGTCATGTTAATCAAACAACAAAACACATATAGAAAAATCACTTTTGTAGCTTTAACACAGATTTATTAGATTTAATTTATACAGTGAAGACTATGCAGTGTTATTTTACATTTGATTATTCAATTTCTGTACCTGCATACTGTTAGACTCGCCTTAAAAATACAAAGCACTGTTTATTTCATTTGTATCTTTGTTCTATTATATTTATCTATGCTTGTAATTTGTTTATTTCCTATGCTGATTTACTCACCTACAAAATCACCCCAATAATTGATTTTTTTTTCCAAATAGAGCTATTCAAGTCATCTGGTGATTTTGTTTTTCATATCGCAATATATATCGCAGAAAAACAAAATATCGCAATGTAAGTTTTTTCCAATATCGTGCAGCCCCAATTAATATTACTATCAAGTGTACTTGCTGCTGGTCTGTAGATATGGATCAAGGTTTTAATGTAATTATTTAGCTTATTCTTCATTTGCCACAAGAAAAAAAAAAACATTATATTGCACACATAAACATGTCAGATGTTTGTCAGATTCTACATAACAACATGTCCTTTCTTAACCTGTAGGACAAACTCTGTGAAATCCAATCCCGTATATTCAGCAGACCTGTGAATAATGTGATAAATGAAAGCTGCACAAACAAGGGTCTTTTAAGTGGTCATCTCCTGCTGGAGTTTAGAGGTCATTGGATAGCATTTCACTTTGATTAAAGGATGAAAAGGTGCAGACAAGAAGGGATGAGGGCCCCATGAGGCTTTGGACAGTGGACACTTGCCCAAAGGGTCAAGGGTGCTCAGACAGCCATCTAGAAAAAAACCTCAAAGGTCTTAAACTGATAACCAATCACAAAGGGCATGTGTGTACAGCGTCTGTGTATGTGTGTGTGTGTGTGTGTGTAGGTGATGTAAGGCCCCCTGTGAAACCTCACTCAAAACATCACATGACTCCACAAAGCCTACTTCTTTTCCAACTTGTGACCACATTCTTTCTGTGAGGTTTTGGCTCAGGCAAATAATGGAGGGATATAAAGAGAGTGAATGCAAGAGTAAGTGAATGAGTACAGATGAAAAAAATGGGGGTACATGAGAGGAAACCAGTAAAAAGTAGGTTAGAAAGTCGGGACTGCCCTGGACAGGCCTCGCCTCTCTTCTACTGATCTCCTGTTTACCACTAATTGCTCTGACAGAAACAGGCCACACAAATACTGCCTAAACAAAATACTGATTTTGTGCACTTTATTTACTGTACCAATATTTTAAATTGGCCTTTGAACTTAGCTTTATTGCATGGCAAAAAAAAGTGTTACCTTGCCAAAGCACTGACAGAGCCCACTGATCTAATGGCGTTGTTGAACGCTCCAAATGCAAACTTTGCATGCAACAATCAGGCAGCAATTGACAGCACTCTGATCTAGTGGCATACAGGCATCGTCAGATTGACAGTACTCTAGCCCAATAATGTTGGGGGTTCCAGTGGGGGCGGCAGTCATATTTCAGGGTGACCGTGCCACTCTTTATCACAACCCTGCTAAAAGTGCCAGTACGTGCGCTCATTGGCGCCCCTTCAGCTGGTGGCGCCCTAGGCGACCGCCTAGCTCGCCTATGCCTAGAAACGGCCCTGGGAGGGGGGGTGGTTTGGTGGATCATATATCACGCGAGACAAATCCTGACCAAATACAGCCTAGTGACCTTAGTCTGAATGCTGAAAAAGGCAGACACATACGCAAAACAATCCTGGAAGCCAAAGAATGAAAGATTTTGTTAAGACTGTACAAAACATAAGAATATGAGGCTGAAACAGAAATACAAAAATGTGTTTTCTATTATTATATTTTTGTGTATTTCTATTTTTTCTAAAATTGTTTCCCTACACTGTCTAATAATAATAATAATAATAATAATAATAATATAAGAAGATGCAAAGATATTCTTGAAATTTGACTGGTAGAATTAGATAAACAAGCTCCTCCAACATTTACATTTGGTCATTTTAACCTTGTCCCGTTTTTAATTTTCACAATTATTTTCTTTATTTTTTATTTATATCACCTTGGATATTTCCTTTCTGCACCATTACTACTAATTATACTTTAGCGGTACTGTAAAAGGTAACAATCGTGGCCAAAAAAAAAAGAAAAAAGAATGATACTGAATGTCAACATATTCGTTTACCTTGCATACTACCTTAATTTTTGTAAAACTTCCACAGAGAAATTCTACTAACTCTCCTATAACTGCAGAAGCATCATTATAACCTCAAAGTCAGGTAGATAGTTAAATGACACAAAAGCAGACGATCTGTGTAGACTTATGGGTCTTGAGTGGCACACGGGTACATATGGCGCAAAGTTAAGTGTCAAGTAATTATTCCATTCCAAAACTACTACCTGACAGATTAGAGCGGACAGCAGGTGGCAATGCAGAAAGGAGAGAAGGATAATCCAACACCCCTCAGATTTAAATAGCTGATCCTGTCCCTGTCGCCACCTTTGTCACCCTCTTTTCAGGATGCTTAACCCACCTGGTGGAGAAGTGAAAACATAAGCCATATATGTGAATCTAGGTCCCTCTCCTGTAAGTTAAGCAAACCTCCTCTACAAGGAGCAACAAGCCCCTCTCAATAGAACACCTTGACATTCCTTTGCAGCTTGTTCAGTGGAAATGAATTGAGCTATCTGGAGCTGGACAAAGAGTGCAACTTAAGACGAAATCTCCAAGCACACATATCCACACACACACACACACACACACACACACACTCGACCCTGCAAGCAAGAGGA